TGGGGCTTTAGGGTTAGGGCTTAGGGCTTTAGGGTTTTGGGGTTTAGGGCTTGCCAACTGAAGCGCCGCGCCTCGACCCAAGGGCGTCGTCCACGACGCGTCGCGCGGAAGCTAAAACCCCTGGAAGCTGTGGCTGTGGGCGGTGAAAAGTGGAAGTAGCTGCAGGATTGTGGCCGGAACAGACGCCAACAAAATCGAGCGGAAGTCCTTACAGCGTAAGGCTGCCCCCGCCTTCTTTGCGAGGGTAATTAGACATTCTCCGCGAAACTCGACTGGTTCCTGAATCATCAGGGTGGCTTTGAGCGTAGGGAAGAGCTGCCGTGAGGCCTCTGTGGGGGCCCCCATCGGGTCCCGACGCTTTGTGTCTTTGTAGCCCCAAGACAATCTGCTCAGCGTCGATCAAAGATGGCACGACCTCCAGATCAAAAACAGTCTGTGCTTCCGCGCAAGGTGGGGGAAACTTGCGCAGGTAGTCTTCGAGGCGTAGTAACTGTGCCCAACTCCTGATCGGCAAAATGTTGTCTCCAACACTCAAGGCGGTGCAGCACTATGTCAGCAGAGCGTCGCTAATGGATGAAACCGATTCTAATTTATTATGGCCCCGATGTTAGATCCTCAAAACCGAAACACCAAACCAAAAAAACCCACAATTTCCCAAACCCCCTTAAAACGTTGAAGCCCGTAAAGCCCCAAACTCTTAAACCCTAAAACCCCAAAACCCAAAAGCCCCAAAAACCCCAAACCCTAAAACCCTAAACCCTTAAAGGAACCCTTAACCCTTCAAGGAACCCTTAAAGGAACCGTTCAAGGAACCCTTAAAGAAACCCTAAAGGAACCCTTCAAGGAACCCTTAAACGAACCCTTAAAGGAACAGATCCCCACGGAGCGCGAAACCCCGCCACCCTAAACCCTAAACCCTAAACCCTAAACCCTAAACCCTAAACCCTAAACCTTAACCGTCGCCCTCTCACATTTGCGGCCTGGGTGGTCAGCCGCAGCGTCAGGCCCTCGAGGTCATCGCCTGTCTTCGAACTGGAGTTGAGCTGTTTCTTTTTTTGTAGGGCTTCGGGAGTTTGGGGAGTTTAGCTGTTGCTTTTTTTGTAGGGCTTCGGGAGTTTGGGGAGTTGAGCTGTTTCTTTTTTTGTAGGGTTTAGGGAGTTTGGGGAGTTTAGGGAGTTTAGATCAGGGTGTAGGGCTTAGGGAGTTTATTCGAGAGTTTAGTTTAGGGCCTTTAGGGTGCAGGGTTTAGAGACTTTAGTTTAGGGTGCAGGGTGTAGGGTTCAGGGCTCTGGGCTCTGGGTTTGGGGGGGGGGTCATGCTGTGGTTTGTATCCTGCGACATGTGGTTCTTTTGCAGAATTTTGCGGTTTAGGGTTTAGGGTCTAGGGTTTAGTTCAGGGATACATAGGGTTTACCTTGGGTAGGGTTTGTTTTGAGCTGTGGGGCGTGTGTGCGTTCGGGTTCTCTGTTGAACTTTACCAGCAGTGACTACGAAGGAGCACGGGGGCTCTGATTGTGGTACTGTTACCTATCCGGTTGCTATATGAACCAGGCAGAAACATGGAGCAACTCGCCACAAACCCTAACCCATAAACCCTAAACCCTAAACCCTAAACCCTAAACCCTAAACCCCGAACCCAGAGATCGATGCTGCTCATCCAGAGGCTCATCGTCTCTCGTTGGGAAAGACCTCCTCAAGACCTAGGCCCGGCCCTAAACCCGAAAGAAGTACCCCAAAGAAAAGCCCCCTAAGCCTTTAAAACCCGAAAGGCTGATCCTTCGCTGCAATGTAGGGGCCTTAATAATTAGAATAAGGTTTTTGGGCCCATTATACTATAATAACGAAAATCAGGAACTCCCACAAAATAGTATAGGTGATTATTTAGGCCCCTGTGTTAGACGCCAACTCTTCCCGAAACCCGAACTCTCCGCAGAAATGCGAGCACCCCTTTCGACAGTAGCACTGAGGGACCTCCTAAAGGCAACACGCGCTTCAATGACCCTGGCATTTTGGCACGGTCCATGGGTGCGTAGGATTTGCCCAAAATCTGCAAACGTGGGGTTGTGCGCACATTTTTGGCGAACAAGGTTGTTTTGGATGCTTAGAAAGTACAGTTTTTTAACCAGGGTTTTGCGTGCCAAAGCACGAATTCACTGGCCCCACTGGGAGATGTAAAACCTTCCGAACGCGAATTGTGCAGCCGATCTGCCAACCGACTCAGGTCAGTCGACAGCTGCTTTGGAGTATTGAAACGGAACAGAAAGAAACACGATGATAACAATGATGATGATGATGATGATGATGTGATGATGATGATGATGACGATGATGATGATGGTGATGACGATGATGATGATGATGATGGCCTGCACATCGATGATGCTCATAGGGATGGTGGAGTAGTGAGGCGTAGTGCACCCCACCCCACCCCACCAGGGAAGCCTTAAGCCCGCAAAACCTGCGAAAACTCATGCTCATTAAAGCGTGCGTTAGCCCAAACAAGTTGCATGGGAACGCGCCTCCGGCGTGTACTTGGTTTAGGGCTGAGGTAAAAACCAACAGCTGGCAAAGGTCCTCTCCAACTTTGATCTAGACAGCGCTCGCGAAAACGGGATCCGAACAGGAGCGCGGTGATCCACCTAAGCGCTCAGCCTGAAAGCCTATACCGTCATCGACGCCATAAGACCGTTCTTCAACCCAAGTTATGCGGGTTTCCGAAAGTACGGACCCTAATATAGCACCCTAAATAATTAGTAGGATCCTTATTATTATAGGGTACCCCCAAATAAGGTAAACCCCAAACCCTATAAACCCCTAAAGCCTAAACCCCTAAACCCTAAATCCCCAAATAAGGTACCCCTTGTTTTCGGAAACTCCAAGTTATGGCGGCCGAAGCCCAGCAGTGCCCCAGAGCACCCCAAAGCCCTTAATTAAGGAATATACCTCAAATCATAATAGTAAGGCATCGATAATTTAAGGTATATTCCTCAATACGGAATCTACCTTAAACCATAATATTAAGGACTCTGCAATTTAAGGTATCTTCGTCAACTAAGGATTATACCTTAAATCATAATATTAAGGCCTCTATAACTTAAGGTACATTCCCCAAAAAGGAACAGACCTTACATCATAATATTAAGGCCTCTGCAATTTAAGGTATATTCCTCAATAAGGAATCTACCTTACATCATAATATCAAGGACTCCCCCCGAAACCTCAAACCCTAAGCCCTAAACTAAACCCCAGCAAATCCCGGTCTGCGTCCTTAATTAAGGGGTATAACTTACATCACATATTAACAACTCTGCAATTTTACGGTCTATTCCTTCATTAAGGGGTATTGAGCTCTCCGGGGCCTTCCTCTGACAGCACTGTGGCTTAGTAAGGAATGGGGGAATGGATCCCTATGATAGTCCCTTAAGGTCCCTTATAGTAGTCCCTATAACCCATTCCCCCATTCCCTACTAAGCACCAGACAGTAATTAAGGGGTGTTGAGCTCTCCGGGGCCTTCCTCTGACAGCACTGCGGCGAGGGTCGGCGCCAGCAGCTGCAGCCTTCCAGCAGGAGCCTGATGCTAAGGTTAGAAGTATGGGCCCCTAATATGGACCCCTAGGCCTTTCTAGGGACCCTTAAGGGTACATATAGGGCTAAGTTGTCCTTTAAGCCCTTTGAACATTATTTGCTATTATGGTTCTCTAAAATAGCAAGGGAAATTAACACAGATCCCAAAAGACAACCCAGGATGTCTGTGGGACAGCGGGGTGGGGCTTTAGGGTTTGAGGCTTTAAAGGGTTTAGAGGGTTAGAGGGTTTAGAGGGTTTAGGGCAGTTTGGGGTTTAGGGTTTGGGGGTTTAGAGGGTTTAGAGGGCTTAGGGCAGTTTGGGGTTTAGGGTTTAGGGGGGGTTTAGGGTATGAAAATTGAGGTTTTGGGGCTGTGGGAGCATTAGGGATTAGGGCAGTGGGGGCTTTAGGGTTTGAGGGTTTAGGGGTTTCAGACACAAGGATCCTCTTATCTGTAATGCTTCATGACCCGATGATTTCGGTTTTGTGAGATGGTCCGAGAGGCGAGAGGAGGAGAAATGCGACTCATGCTAATGTAGGGGCCTTAATAATTAGAAGAGGGTTGTGGGCGTTCCTTTTAAGGGTTCTTTAAAGGGTTCTATAAGGGATCTATAACAGGTTTCTATAATGTAGGAGCCTGAATAATTAGAATAGGGTTTTGCGGGCCCATTATACTATAATCATCGTGAGGAATCCCCCAAAATAATGTAGGAAAATATTCGGGCCCTTAAACCCTAAACCTTTTTTGAACTCTTTAAGGAACCCTTTAAAGTACCCCCCCCAAAAATAGAATAATATAGGAAATTATCAAGGCCCCTACAGCACTCGTGTTTGTGTGACCTTGACCCTCGACTCCCACGTACCTAAACCCTACTTGGAGTTCATGGGTAGTTACTATTATAAATTGGGGCTACTATAAGGGTTACTACAACGGATAAGGTGTCAGGGTTTGGGGTTCCTGAGTAGATAGAAATGGGGGTCATAAGTAGGGTAACTGTAACTTACAACCCCTGTTAGGGGACTTGTAACCCCACTGATAACTACCCATGAACCTCCAAGTAGGCACCAACCCCAAACCCTGAACCCAAAGCCACCAACACCCTAAACCCTAAACCCTAAACCCTGAACCCTGAACCCTAAACCCTAAACCCTAAACCCTAAACCCTAAACCCTAAAAAACCCTAAACCCTATCCCTTGCGGCCTTCATCTGCAGCAAGCTCCGAGCCACCTGAGCCGAAACGGGCTGCTTTCAGGGCTGATAACGGTTAGGCTACAGGGCCGAGTGTGTTTAGGGTTTAGGGTTTTAAGGCATCTGTCAGGATCCTTTCGAGTTTGATGATCTAAGGTTTTCTGAAAGGGAGGGTTGTTAAACCCTAAACCCTCAACCCCAAACCCGCTTAGGTCTTCTGGTTGTTAAAAGCCCTCTTGGGCCTTCGGGTTTTGAAAAAAAACGCGAGGAGGGGAGCCAGGGTTCGGGGATTTTGGGTCTAGAGATGTCTAGGGAGGTCTAGGGGATAGGGCTTTAGGGTTATAGGGGGTTTAGGGTTTAGGGTTTAGGGTTTAGGGTTTTGACGTTTTTGAGGGTTTTGAGGGTTTAGGGGTTTAGGGTTTAGGGTATAGGTTTTATGTCTAGGGCTTAGGGTTTTAGGGTATAGCGCTTATGTGTTAACCCCCAAAATAGTACTGGTAAGTTTTTGAGGCCCCTAAACCCTGAACCCTTATAGAACCCTTTAAGGAACCCTTTGAAGAAACCCCCAAAAGAGTATAGGTAATAATTGAGGCCCCTATACTAAGCTCCTCTCCCCAAGTGGCGGGCCTCGGGTGCTGAGCATGTTCGCCGCTTCTTCCGCGCCGCATGCCGGTGGTCCTGCCCAAGTTTGAGGTTTCAGGTTTTAGGAGTTTTGAGAGTTTTAAGGGTGTTAGAGTTTTAGGGTTTAGAGTTTTAGGGGTTTTAGGGTTCAGTGGGTTTTGGGGGTTTTAGGGTTGTTTAAGGGTTTTAGCGTTTAGGGTTTAGTGGTTTAGGGTTTTTAGGGGTTTAGGAGTTTAGAGTTTTAAGGGTTTTAAGGTTTTAGGGGTTTAGGGTTTAAGGGTTTTAGGGGTTTTAGGGGTTTAGGGGTTTCAGGGTTTACTGTTTTAGGGTTTAAGGTTTAGGGGTTAGGGGTTTAAGGGTTTAGGAGTTTAGGGTTTAGGGGTTAGGGGTTTTAGGGGTTTTAGGGGTTTAGGGGTTTAGGGTTTAGGCGTCAGGGGTAAGGCTTAAGGGCCTTTCAAAAAGACACGAAGGCTCTGAGCTCCCAACGCTGTAACCCATGGGTCCTGGGGTTGGCGTTTAGGTCTTACGACAACCTCAAGGACGATGAGCCTCCTAAGTCCTATATAAAAAATGAATAGATAGATAGATCGATAGATAGATAGATAGATATATATATATATATATATATATATATTCTGAAAACCATAGGCACTCCGCCCCACACATCATAGCCGTACATCCCAAGCCCTGAGCTACACATTTCCCGGCATGCAGAAACTGACTGCCTGCTCAGGAAGTCAGGGCATGGGCTCAGAGTGTGGGGTTTACTTGAACCCACGAGAATAACTACAAGGATACTATAATCAGGAGCCCCGAAAAGTAGTCTCTAAACCCTAAACCCTGAACCCTCGCCGGTGTCGGGGCTTAGTGTAACTCTATACCTGAAGCCCTGACCCCTAAACCATGTACCTGAAGCCCTAAACCCTAAACCCTATACCTGAAGCCCTAAACCCTAAACTCTAAACCCTATATCTGAAGCCAAACCCTAAACCATATACCTGAAGCCCTAAACCCTAAACCATATACCTGAAGCCCTAAACCCTAAACCCTAAACCCTATACCTGAAACCCTACACCCTAAACCATATACCTGAAGTCCTAAATGGTTTAGGGGCTTAAGGTGTTTGAGACTCAGCTCGCCTGCAAGGCCGCCAGCAGGACGGAAGCCGCCTCAGCCTATTCCAGCGAAGTCACGGCGTGATAGAGGGTTCAGGGGTTCAGGGGTTTTAGGGATTTAGGGGTTTTAAGGATTTAGGGCTTTGAGGGGTTTAGGGTTCAGGATTTATGTTGTTTCTAACGCAGGGGCCTTAATAATTAGAATAGGGTTTTGGGAATATTCTACTATATAATAAGGAACCCCCCAAATAGTATAGGTAATTGTTAAGGCCCCTATATTAAGAGCCTCTTATCCAACAGCACTACGGTTGATGATATAAACCCTGCATTACCCATAATAAGGAATATACCCTAATTCCCATAGTTCAGGGTCCTTCAGGTCATGCTAAACCCTAAACCCTGAACCCTGACCCTAAACCCCTAAATCCTGAACCCTAAACCCTTAAGGTATTGCAGGACGTATATCATCAGCAGTCGTATGGGTTTGGGGTTTCGAGTTTCGGGTTCGGCTTTTCTCAGCACGTTTTCCACCTGAGACAGAAGTCTGCAAGCAACGACGGTTTAGGATTTAGGGTTTAGGGGTTTAGGGTTTAACGTTTAGCGGTTTAGGGTTTAGGGGTGTGTAGGGTGTGGGGTTCCTGCCACAAGGAGCTTGTCGCACAAGTCCACTTTTGAAAAAGACACCCTACGTATAGAGAAAGTAAGAGCTATGGATCTTCGACAAGCCGAGCCTCTAGAACGAGTAATCTAGTTATTCATCGCCAGCAGCAAGTGTAAGCGTATTAAGGTTTACGGCGTTTCGGGTTTTTTCTTACGATCCTTGCTAGAATCAAGGGTAGAACAGCAAGCAGACTGAGAACAGACCCCGATACACAGGTCGACAACATCACCTGGTCTTTCAAACCCTAACCCTAAACCCCTAAGCCCTAAACCCCTAAACCCCTAAACCCCTAAACCCTAGACCCCTAAACCATTAAACCCTAAACCCCTAAAGCCCTAAACCCTTCAACCCCTACACCCTCCAAGCTGGTCCAGTTTTCGGGCTCAGACCAGGGCTTGAAGCTTTTTGTTTTTTTGGGTGGGGCTTTGGGGTTCAGGATTCGGTTGGGGTTTTATAGGGCCCCAAAAAGCACGTAAGCAAAAATTAGGATAGGGATATCCCATATAAACCCCCTTATAATGAAGCCCAGTAAGGTAGGGATATCCCTATAAAATGCTTATGCTTATATGCTTCTTGGGTTCTTATATTTAGGGTTCAGGATGCAGGGTCTGACTCCGGCCGTGGTTCCCAGAGAATCCAATAGGAGCAACCAAGGAAGAACTGGTTCTTCTGTCGGCCGTCTGGTTTCCAGCGAAGGATGCCCCCGCATTGCGGCAAAGGCCAGGGCAAGTCGGTCTCGTGGCCAAGGTGAAGTTACACCGGGTGTATCTTACCGCCACACCTTTTTACACCCGCGTGGTACGAGAGGTCCTTCGCTAAGCAACCCAGCATCGTGGGCTCACGGACCTCTGGCGGCGTCTTCCGCATCCTTTCCCAAACCTTCAAAGTCTGCTAAACCTTCACCTGGTCCTTCCCCTGGGGCTCCAAATAGCCCAATGTAGGTACTATTTACAGACTTTAGACCCAAAAGTAGGTACTATTTGTATACTTGGAGCCCTAGGGTTCATCAGGGACTGGAGCTTTGCCGTCATCTCTGCACGCTTGGCTGGCGGATGCTTGTCGGGGTCTGGCTTCGGCTAGGGCTTAGGGTTTGGGGGTGTGAGGGTTTAGGGTTAAGGGTTCAGGATGCAGGGTCTCTAAGGACTTTAGGAGGGACCCCCTAAAGCCATTACCTTATCTAAATATCCATTGTATAGTCCTTATATACCCCTTATATAGCCAGGTACTCTCCATATGAACCCCAATAACCTACAAGGGTCCCTATTAAGGGTCCCTCCCAAAGCCCTTAGAGGGTCTAGTTCACACCCTAAACCCTAAACCCTAGACCCTAAACCCTAAACCCTAAACCCTAAACCCTAAACCCTGCACCCCGGAAACCCACGAGTTTCAATTCATCTGGGGCTCAGCGTCGGATTGGGGTTCAAGGCTTAGGGCTTAGGTTTTAAGAGTTTAAGGATTGGGGTTTAGGGTGAAGGATTTAAGTTGCAGAGTTTAGGGTTTAGGGTTTAGGGTGAAGGATTTAAGTTTTAGAGTTTAGGGTTTAGGGTTTAGGGGTTTAGGGTATAGGGTTTAGGGTTTAAGAGTTTAGGAGTTTAGGGATGTTGTACCCCGAACCCGTATGAGTCCGAAACCAAAGAGGGCCACTCGAGCCTGCTCATCTGTGGCTTCTGACTCCTCTCAGGACATGGCAGCGGTTCTGGGCGCAGGATCACAGGGTTATGGCCCAGGGCATATCTTTAGGGACTTTAGGGCTTGGGTTTCGGGTTTAGGGTTTAGTTCTTGTTTTTGCCCTTTTGGCAGGGTTGGGATTTAGGTTCTGGACTACTTGGAGGTTCATGGGCGGTTTTTAGATGGGTTATAAGTCCCTCTTATGGGGTTCTAAGTATAGTTACCCTACTTCTAACCACAATTATCACTACCCATGAACCCTAAACCCTAAACCCAAAACGCAAAAACCCTTAGAGTTATAACTGCCAATGAACCTCCAAGTAGTGGTAGGACTTAGTGTTTGGCGTGTGTTTCCAGGTGCCGTTCAAGTGGAGAGGAGGTGTACCCTAAACCCTAAACCCCTAAACCCTAAACCCCTAAACCCTAAACCCCTAAACCCTAAACCCCTAAACCCCTAAACCCTAAACCCTAAACCCTAAACCGGTGGCGCTATTGGAACCCCAGAGGCCGATGTGCTGTAGGGGCCAAAATAGGTAATGGGTTCCGAGAAAGGGTTCCTGAAAGGGTTCTATAAGGGTTTAGGGTTTAAGGGCCTTAAGAATTACCTATATTATCTTTTTTTGGGGGGGTTCCTTATTATGATTATAGTATATTACTTCTGGGGGTTCCTTCTTATAATTACCTGTATTACTTTGGGGGTTCCTTGATATGATTATTGTACAATGGGCCCCAACACCCTATTCTAACCATTAAGGCCCCTACATTAGAATAACCAAACGATCCAAGTGTAACCATGTTCCTGGAGCCCATGACAGAAGCTTCAATGCTGAACCAGCGCCTTAAACCCTAAATCCTAAACCCAAAGTCCCAAAACCCTAAACCCCTAAACCCCTAAATCCTAAACCCCTAAACCCCAAAACCCTAAACCCTAAATCCCCTTGGGACTTGTTCGTCTTACTCGGACTCTGTATTCCCTCTAAACTTCAGCCTCGCCAAGACTATACCCAAGATTCCGCGTTCCGCGTAGGGTGTAACGTAGGGTTTTGGGCTCCTTTATTGTATTATTGTTATAGTAATAATAATAATGATATTATTATTATTATTATGAGGAACCCCCCAAAAGAGCATAGGTGATTATGAAGGCCCCTATAGTATGAATTTCGGGGTTCCAAGGTGAGCTTGGCTTTCAACCCTAAACCCTAAACCCTAAACGGGGTGTGGGCTATCAGCATTGCAAAGGCCTCAGCAGCCCAACCCAAAACCCTATTCTCGGTTTAGGGTTTAGGGTTTATGGGTTTATGGGTTTAGGGTTTAGGTTAAAGTCACTAAAGCTTTTCCTGAAGGGTGCCTCTGCAGTGCGCTCTATTCGAAAGTTTCTGGCACAAGCAGAGTCGGCCTGAGGCATGTGGCTTGGTCCAGCCTCCTGAGGAGGAGTGTAGCCGAACCTTGCATATGCGTGGACTCAAAGCACCACCCAGGATTCTAAGAGCAACAGACATGCCACCAAGCAGCACTTTCTTCAAGAGTGCCCTGGCTTCTGGCCTCTTGTCAGATATGATGGGCACGATCTTGGATCGAATTTCCTCGATCTTCGCGTAGCTCTCCTCTTGGCGGTGCTGCACCAGAAGCTTGTAGAGCTTGGCGTCGGTCTGCGTCAAGTTTGGGTCCTGCTTCCAGCCTCGTAAAAAGCATATGCGCTCAAATCAAAAACTGGAGCAAACACTCATCCCCCATACAATGCCTGCAAGAGACGCCCATCAAGGAAAGCTTCCGTGATGGCCTGTCTGGCCTTTTCTTTGTTGCCGTGGTAAGACGCCAGAACAACTTCTGTCAGCCAGTCTGTGAGCTGGCTCTCCCGCCTTGGGGGAAACAATCTGATTGAAGCTCCAAATAGCCCAATGTAGGTACTATTTACAGACTTTAGACCCAAAAGTAGGTACTATTTGTATACTTGGAGCCCTAGGGATCTGATTGAAGCTCCCATTCTCAACACAACGCCTCGCAACTTAGAGGACGAGGCGACCCCGAATCCCCAAACTCAAATCCTAAGGTCCCGACAATCATCCTGCACATCTCAGCTCCCCAGAAGTAAAAGGAGGAGCCTACGTACCTAAGCCCTTATAGAAACCTTATAGATCCCGTTAAAGGAACAGTACTGAAACCCCTAAACCTAAGCCCGAATTTCTAGAAACCTTGTAGAAATCTTGTAGATCCCTTTAAAGGAACCACTACTGAAACCCCAAACTCAAAACCCTAAACCCTAAACCCCTAAACCCCTAAACCATAAACCCCTAAACCCTAAACCCTTTAACTGAACCACTACTGACACCCCAAACTCAAAAACTCATCCTGCACAGACGTGGATCGTCCTGCGACGCCGTGGCTGCTAGCTGCTCCAGGTTCTGCAGGAAAGTTTTGGTTTAAGGTTTAGGGTTTAGGGGTTCAGGGGTTGGGGTTTTAGGGGTTTGGGCTTTGGGGTTTTAGGGGTTTGGGCTTTGGGGTTT